CGCGATGAAAAGTGTTTTGTCATCTAGAGTGACTCGGCGACCACCTCGATAACAATATGCTCACCTCGTTTTGGATCCCTCTTGATATCAGGAGGGTTCGCTGATTCGCGATTGATTGGATGACGATTATTTTATCAACGTTTATATCTTCTGGATAATAGACATGTTGATAAATATCTTAGGCTTAAAAAAAAAAAGCAATCTCAAAAATATTATATTTATAATTTTAATATCTAAAATTTTATTAATTTTTATTAAAAATTTATTTAACGGACAACGAAATTATGAGAAATTCTATTATAATTATTGATCTAGATATATTAATACGAAAAGAATGATTTGCTGAAGTATCTAAAAAAATTGTATTAGATACAGATTTCAATATAATATTATTGGAACATTAAAATAAATACATAGGACATTTAAACAGATGAGACAATATTGCGGAAATCTTTATTTTAGCAATCAATTTGAATGTTTTATATAATTATTTTGATGGTCCGACAAAATTATTTTCAGGTCTATATTCAGCTAAATCTTTTTCATTTCAGCAAAGTTATTCTTTCAAGTGAAGTCTTATCACTTAATGTTTTATCGATGAATGTAAAAGAGAAACGATATGTTATATCGACCGTAAAATTTTGTCGTGTCTCCGCAACGTGGCGGGCTTAAGTTTTCCGGTGGCGAAGATATTTTCGTTGATTTTCGCCAGGGTGGCCGAACTCTTGGGAGAGAGTTTGGGAAGTCGCTACACATTTTCGTCTCTCTCCGCACGTCTCTTCCTCTCTGTCTTTCTCTTTCTCGCTTTGGTTAGAGGGTTGCGCGCCATTGTTCGAGCGATATTTCAGCAGCGGCGGTGGCTGCTAGAGTGGAAGGGCGGGGATGGTTAGCGGTAGTCAGCTGGCTGTGACACGTTGCCTACCTCGCCAAAGAGGAACCAGAGGCGCTTACAAGTATCCGGGACTAGAGAGGGTCTCTCGGCTTTTCATACGCGGCGATACTTTTTTGTCTGACGATAGCCGAGGTCTTGACTTTAAAGCGATTACATGTAACTATTGTCGCGTTGCATCTGCGTTTGTACCGCAAAGTTTTTTTTTTTATAGTTTTTTTTTATGCATAATGTCTCTTTTTACAAAGATTTTTATCTCGCAAAAAATTTATAATATTTGAGTAATATATATTTATGTAATTCTACGATATTATATCGAATGTACAACTATGGAATTACGATGGTATCAATATTGTAGTATACAATGCGAGAACATTTGTTGCGAACGCATTTTGATGTCCGATTAATAGCATTATCAAAATTCATGATCATTTCTACGCTTCCATGCGTACGCTAATCGCTTCTGAAATCCTTTGATACTCATTCACAGTCGAACGAAGCTTCTTTGACTTATCGAACGATGTACAGGCACTGCTTGCATCTTAACTGCGACAATGGCCATGTGCATCTGGCAATAAGAGCGAGATGTGCGATGAGAGTTTAATAATTATTATTCATAAGAGTCTCCTGTGGGAATCGACCAGGCGTGAGACTAAGCAAGAAAGATGTGCTGCAAAACAAGAGAGGGTGCCATCGCTTCTTCGGGGCTTGCTTATGTCCTCCTCATCTTCCCTCCGGTAGGGAACTGGAGTATTCCACAACGGGAAGGGGGTGTGCTCGAGTCAGTCGAGCAGAAACCCAATCACTTCCGGCGTCTGCGCCCATTAGGGCGCCGCGACGCTGACGTCGGCTGACGTACGCCCTTCCTCTTCGCATCTCACTCACTCTACCGCTTCTCCCTAGTTGTTCCTATCTCACATTGTATTGACCTACCACCCTCTTGGATTTCGACCAACATCGAAACAGACCGCAGATCTATTGTTTGGAAAGCGCTCACATGGAAGCTTCTTCAATGCGGCTAATGACGTATCGAGGATTTTCTTCCTCTTTATCGGATTTTTTTGTTTTTACTCGTTCATCTCCCGAGTCAGTTGCCGTTCGCTTTTTCCTTGATTGTTATAAAGATATAGCGGACATCGGAACAAGTTCTTTCATATCGTGTGTGCTGCGTATAAAATGCGAGAATATAAAAGATCGTAAAGTATTTTCAAAACAAAACAAAAAAGTGAATTTCTTATACAGGGTGTGCACCGTAAGTGAATATTCTATTATTTGTAAATCACAACTCCAAACATCTCGCCGCGTTTCTAGCACGCGCGTAACGTGGATGGATGATCGTATCTCGCTTGCATTTGCGGCGGATCATGCGGTCATTTGACAATTTTTATTAATTAATAACTACTAAATGCGAAAACTTCCAAAGTGATAGAGGATTTTTCAACTAAGTTTAATCCTGCATACGAAAAATGTGCTATTATCACTGTTTATTTAAACATTTTGCATATAGAAAAATTATCATGATATCCAAAAGGATTGAACAACAGGATTAAATATATTGCATTAATATTTTTCTGTTTTTAGGTTTTAAATATAAAAAATTTTAGATATTAATTCGATTATTTTATTAAGGTTTTGTTTCGTTTGTATGTTTCAGGTTTATTAACGCGAGACGTAGAATCGTTCAACCGATGATCGACCAGAGTAATCGAGCCGGTAAGATGAATCCACTTCAGCCAACAGACATTTACACTCACAACACTACAGACAATATTGTGCCATCTGTGCCGGACATATATCACCAATATATTTATTCTCCTTATGAACATTTTTTTTCTAATTATTATGAATTGACTTAGTTTTTTTTTTTTTCAAATAGGATCAAATTTATTTTTTTCAATAAAGTGATTGATGATGAGCTGATTGATAAAGTGATGATAAGATAATTCTATGTATTTTGAAATTATTTAATATTATTAAAATTTGGAATACAATACAATTTTAATTTTGAAAAATATATTAATCTCTGATGATTGTTTTAAACCTTTTAAATGATTTACTATAGAAAATAATCTTTCAGATAAAATATTGATTAACAGCTGATGGTTTACGAATGATTCTATGGTACAATTATAATTTGACAATTTAGTACAAGCCACATTTAATTTAGTTTTACTACCATTTTTATTATCTCACGTAATAGATGTTCAGTCTCTTCGTATAATATTCTTGATATTATTCTTCAATAAACGAAACATTCGAATCGAATAAAACCTGTGGCATCGTATATATTTGTATATCCGCAATATCCGTCGTTTCTCTCTCAAATCAAATCACTTTGTGATTCGATTATCGGTCGTTCCACGCTCACGATGGAAATTTGAATTTCACTTCTCTCTTGCGTGTCTGATTAATATCATGTCCGACAATCATTCCGTTTCGTGATTTAGAAAGTATTATTACGTAGTCTCACATCATGCGAATGAATAACGGACTTGTACAATTTGCACAACTGTCAATCTTTTAACAATATTTTTAACATATAAATTGGAAATAAATTAAACTTTAAAATTAAAAGATTGTAATAAATAATTAATATGCATTATTAATACGCATTATCCTTTACTCATAATGATTATATAGAAAATTTTTACTAAAAAGGGATTTTTTTATAATTATTTTTTGATGTTCAACATAATTGATATTAAAATTAGAATGCTTTCCTTGTGTGCGGAAATAATTTTACAAAAGATCAATACATGCCGAAACTGAAAGTTTGATATCGGGAAAATATATTTCTTTGTCGAATAATCTGTAAAGACGACGCGTTTACGAGGAGAGAATCACTTCGTTTGCAGTAAAAGCCGACAACAACGGGTCTTCGTGTTTAGGGTAGAACTATTTTCCTTCTTTCTTTCTCTCGTTTTCTCTCGGTTAGGGTTCAAGGGATCGGTAGTGATTCGGATGATGGTGAGAGGGTTCTTTCGTGGAGTACCGTGGATAACGTTCCGGATAACGTTCGGATAACACTCGGATAACGGCGGGATAATTGGTAGCGGTGATCAGACCGAGTTTTACGATCGAGGAACATGCTCCCGTCGCCATAGTGGAAACTCTCTCGCTCTATCAGTTGTAGCCTCCCACGGCCCGTCTTTTTCCCATGTTCTTATCCGTGGTCGGCTATGTCTTTGTCCCGCATCGCGGAAAGGAACACCCGAGGAAAGTTCGGCCGAGGGTGAACCAACTAAACGGTCGAAACGCAGAGAGAAAGAAAGAGTCCGATTCGCCTCGTATTTTTACGACTGGTCCCCTCATAAACACTCACTGAGTTACGGGTTGTTTGCTCTGTCGAAACTGGGCTTTAGGGGCATTTTATCCACCATTCACCATCCAAACGTATCCACGAAACGCGCTCTCTGGGATAGCAAGACTCTCTCTCTCTCTCTCTCTCTCTCTCTCTCTCTCTCTCTCTCTCTCTCTCTCTCTCTCCTTTCGAGTTGACGCACACGCTTCTCGCAGACTTCTGCAAATGATGACCTGCAACCTGCTTCCGTGCTTTTGTAGGTTGGATAGAAGATGTATTGTGCACCTATGTGCAATAAATGTACAAATGTCTTTCTGAGAATTTTCCCTGCGAGTATCATAAACGTCTCCGTATCCCCAGATTTTATTCAAACTCACGGGCGTGTAGTCGATATTATACTATAGAATTTACACAAATTGACACCAATTACTTGGTGAGTTTTCGGCAGACAGTTGAAAATTTTTTCTTGATTACATCTTAGAAGATTTTGCTTCATTAAATTTTTTTATATCTACACATACATAGCAAATAATATATCAACATTTATCTATGCTATCAAGCAACGTTTTCCTCTTACACTGAGTCAGCGTCATTGATAATCGCAGTACGCATACGTATCGCCAGTGCGAATTCGAGCGATAGCTAAAGAGATATTCGCGAGTGAAGTGGCACGGGGGAGAGGCTCGCGGGTATTGAGGGACGAGGAGAGCAAGAGCCCGACGACCTGAACGTCGTCGTTCGTATCGGGTAAAGTGGAAACCCGTGTACGCCAGATTATCATCCCGACTCAATCCTGATCACAGTTCCATCGTGCCGCAAACAGGCGACCCACGACCTTTCCAGCCCTTCCGCTCGTCGGTTCCATCGCCTCCGTTTTCTCGCCTGCGCTCCGACTGGGAAACCAGTTTTACCAGAGAGAGAGAGAGAGAGAGAGAGCACACCTTTGCGCGCGATGAATCGATGGAGCTACACGCGGGACGAGGGAACGTCCCACGCTCGCCCACGTCCCGCTTGATTATTGCAGCCAGAGAATGACGTGCAGGTTATTTTCATGGATGGAAATGGACACGGAGAAAAAGAGAAAGATAGGTAGAGAGAGAGAGAGAGAGAGAGAGGGAGGGGAGGGGG